AATTTTCAGGAAAATAAATCTAATTCAATTTTTTTTTCTTGATGGATATATGTAAAAATATAAATACTTTTCTGAAATAGGTTGGAAAGTCATGTGAGTGGAAACACCAGATTTATTTTAATTCAAAAACTCGCTCTTGTAAATGCACTTCTAAAAAGTTAAATCCTTTATGTCACTTTAGTTTTTTGTAGGAATATTCGTTAAGAAGCGATGAGAAAGGAGAATAGGTTGCATGAGATCCTGTAAAGTGCATAAATGTTTCCGTTTTAACTACATCAAGGATGTAATAGTAATTATACTCATCAAATGCGGCTCTTCTCCTTTGTGTTTTTAGACTGACCAGTGGAACAATGTACAATAAATCAAATTGAAAAATATATAATATAATTTTTTTTTTTTTTTTTATTTGTTTATTTAGAAATATTACATTCTGTCACATCAAGGACATTTATAATAGTGATCAGAGAAAGCACACTCACACTCTATTTACAATAAAAAAAAAAAAATAAATAAATAAATAATACAGAAACTTAATAATAATAAATACAATAAAATTAAATAAAAATAAATACAATAAAATAAAATAAATGTATATAAACAAAAGAACTAACCTAATCATACACACTCGGGCTTGAGTGGAGGATCTGGCCATTGCCAAAACTCCAATAGATGCTTATTTACAAAAGGTCTCTGGGCCACTGCCGCTTCAACCTTCGAGGAGGATTGTAAGGATGGGTGGTGCTGGATAGAGATTGTGCAAGGGGATTTGGATGATAGGTAAGGTTTTGGTGAAATTTGGAGAATTTTTCTGGAATAAGGTCTAGGACAAATGGGATATTAAGGTCATGGTGTAGGATTTTGTTATTTACATAGAACGGAGCATCAACTATTGTTCGAAGGACTTTAGATTGAAAGGATTGAATACGTTTGATGTTAGAAGCTTTTGCTGTCCCCCACAGTTCAAGTCCGTATGTCCATATAGGTTTCAGTATTGTCTTGTAGATAAGTAATTTGTTTTCAATAGAAAGTTTGGATTTTCTGTTTAGTAGTCTGTATAGCTGGCCGTATCGTCGGTTGAGTTCTTGTCTTTTGAGTCTAGTATGTGGGTTCCACGTTAGTCTTCGGTCTAAATGAAAGCCAAGATACCGGACTGTGTCTGAGTAAGGAAGCTGGATGGAATTAAAGTGTACTGGTGGACAGGAACTGCGTCGGAGTGTAAAGGTAATATGTTGGCATTTAGATTCATTAACTTTAATGCGCCAGTTATTACACCAGTGCTCAATCAAGGTGAGGTGGTTTTGGAGATTTAAGGATGCTATGTTGGGATCAGAGTTGGATGATAAGATTGCGGTGTCGTCAGCGAATGTTGCAAGAAAAGTATCGGGATGAACAGGGATGTCAGCAGTAAAGAGGATGTAAAGCACGGGACCCAAGACGCTGCCTTGGGGAACACCGGCTTTAACGGAGTAGATATTGGAAAATTCTGTTCCACAGCGAACTCGGAAGGAGCGGTCAGAGAGGTAGGATCGGAGGACTAGGTACAAGGACTGAGGTAAATGGATTTTAAGCTTGAAGAGCAGTCCGGAGTGCCATACCCGGTCAAATGCCTGTGCAATGTCCAGAAATGCACCCGAACAGTATTCCTTGTTTTCTAGGGCTGAGGAAATATGATCAACAACTCGGAGTCCTTGTTGAACAGTGGAATGTTGGGAGCGAAAACCAAACTGATGGGAAGGAATATTTTGGGATTCTATAATGGGTAGGATTCGTTTCAAAAGGATCTTTTCAAAAATTTTTGAAAGGATTGGGAGTAGGCTAATTGGTCTATAGGATGTTGAGATATTGGGAGGTTTGCCTGGTTTTTGGAAAAGGATAATAGTGGAGTGTTTCCATAGCAGAGGAAAGTGGGTGGTGCGTAGGATACAGTTGTAGATATATGTAAGGAATATGACTGCTTTGGATGGAAGTTGTCGAAGGATTTGAGGGGTAAGGAGATCATGTCCAGGAGCTTTACGGGGGATTAATTTTTTTAATTGAAATTTCACTTCGGAAGGATGAATAGCTTTTGGGGGCAAGGAAAGTGGGATTGGTGATGTAAGGAATTCTTCTACTGTTACGGTGTGGGCAGGATGGGATTCCGGATGTGAAATAAATGTATTGGATAGGTGAATGGCGAACTCCTCAGCCTTATCTTCGTCAGATGCTGCCCAGGAGCCATCATCTCGTCGGAGGGGATGGGAAATGCGGTGAGGATTTAAGATTTTGGTAGTGGTTTTCCAAAGGGAATTGTCGCGAGAAGAAAGGGAGGATAGGTAGGAGTTGAAGGAATGTGATCTGAAGGTGGCTAATTCCAGTTTTAATTTTTTGCAGTAATAATTATAGGAGCAGCGGTCGGTAGGATGTCGGGTACGTTGCCACAATAATCTGGCACGGCGTTTGGTTTGGATTAGGTCAAGGAGGTGTTGGGGTAGAATGGTCTTTTTAGGAATTCTGGAGGAGTCTTTTGGGAAGGAAGCAGTCCAGGCGGCTTGTTGGATTGTGGTAGTAAAGGAATTTACGGCACTATCAAGGTCATCGGGAGTTTTGAGGGATATGTTAAGATCAATTTTATCGGAGATGATTTGGCGGAAAAGGTCCCAGTTAACTGGGCCCCTAATAAATGACGGTGGAGAAGGTTTGGGAACGGGTTCAAGTGAAACATTAAGGATTAGAGGACTATGGTCAGAGGAAAGTTCATTTAGACGTGTAATGGAACAATTGAGGGGACTTAAGCCGCTGTGGATAAAGAAATCAAGAAGATCAGGATTACGGTTGGGATCTGTAGGCCAGTAGGTAGGAGAGTTGGGGGAAAGGAGGTGAAAATGTTGGGAATTGAGTGCAGACAGCAGGGTTCGGCCACGAGTATTCGTGGTTCTGGAACCCCATTGTTGATGTTTGGCATTTAGGTCTGCACCCAAGATGAAGTGATGTCCTAAGGAGTCGAGGAGAGAACGGAATTGGGCATTGGATATGGATCGGTTAGGAGGGCAATACGCTGATGCAAGGGTAACCGGAAAGGAAAAGGTTTTTATCACGATAGCGGTGGACTGTAGGAAATCATGTGTAGGTAACGGGAGTAGGTGATGGGAGAGGGATTGGTGTACAATGACAGCAGTACCGGCATGTGCTTTTCCGTCAGGGTGGTCAGTACGATATGTCAGGTATTGTGGTATTTTGAAGTGCTGTTTAGTGGTTAGTCGAGTTTCAGTAATTAGTGCCACGTCAATATTTTTGTCAAGTAATAATGTAGTTAGTTCGTTTGTGTGATTTCTAACACCATTCGCATTCCAAAGGAGAATGGATAAAGGTTTATTGGAAGTCATTTAAGGATTTTTCGCGGGAGGGATAAAATGTGATACAAGATTGGTGAGAAGAGATATCAAAGGAGTAACAAGGGATCTGAATTCGGAGAGGAAAGATGTAAGTAAACTGGTGAGATCTGTGGTATTTGAGGGAGGAGGAATGCGGGGAATTTGGTGTTGATAAAACTGTTGATTAGGTGAAGTTTGATTAGGATGTTGAGGGTGGGGTTGAGAATTTTGAGGTATGTGTTGTTGTTGCGGCAGGGTCTCACAATAAGTAACATCATTCTTACCTCCTAATAAGTGTGCAAAAGACACCGTTGGGTCAATTTTTTTTGAAGGTCCTCTTCTTGATGCGTTAGGTTCTCTTCTTGATGCCTCTGCTTCTTCTTGGGTCCGGGATTTTTGATATCTTGATTTAATATTCTTGTAGATCTGACAGCCTTTGTAGTTCGCTGGATGTCCTTCAAGGCACAATGCACAAACTGCAGGATCCCGTTTCGGTTTTGTGCACTCCCCGGATTTGTGCTGCTCTCCACATTTCACACAGCGCGGCAGATGATGGCAGTAAGTCCTGGTATGGCCATATGCCTGGCAATTGTGACACTGTACGATTTCCCTCTTAGGATATGGCTTCTCTACTATAACACTTGTGTAGTATATTCTTCTTATTTCGTATATTTTTTCGATCCCTTGATTTGGCTCCAAATCTACGAAAAATAAGGGTAGAGGAACTTTTACTCCTGGCTGTTCTTTACTCTCCTTCTGTACATTTGTAATCTGGCGCACTATGAAACCTGAAGTTTTCAATTCTTCTTCTATTGCTTCGGTTGGTGTTGAGGGGTGTAGATTTCTTATGACTACCCTCAAAGCTCGATCTTGCCGTAATTGGTACGTATGAAAATCCGCGTTGGTTTCCGTTAGATACTTCACAATTTTTCTGTAGGTTTCAGCTGTATCTGGTGATATCTTCGTGTCCTTTGTTCTGCTTAGACATGAATAGCTTCCAGAGCCTGTTATTTTGTTCAGTTGTGAGCATAGTAACTGAAAATTGCTTATGTTTTTAACGAATATGGGTGGAGGTCGGGGATCTCTTGGTATTGAAGCGGATTCCATCACTTCTTTATCATTCTGAAGCACCTGATAGGGGTTAGGGGTGAAAAACGGAGATTGTTCGGTTATCTCTTGTGAAGATGTACCTGGTTGATGCTGAAGTTCTTCAATTGTTGGTTTTGATGATGTTCCTGGCTGGGTTTCATTTTCTCTGGAGCTAATAGGCGTTACTGCAGGTGTTTGACGACATTGACGAGGCTTTTGTTTGACAGGCGAAGAACAAGGTGTTGAGCCTAACGGCCGAATTCTCTTGATAGAAGCTCTACTAGACATGGCCTGATTGTGATATCGCATATAAGGGAAAAAAAAAATGAAAAAAAAAAAATAAAATAAAATAAAATAAAAATAACCCTATAATTTATAACAAACAATAAATATCAATTGTTATTATGTATTCTTGACTTGTTTTGAATAAATAATCTCAAAGATTTCACTGCAAAATAAGTAAATTCTGAGAGACGATGTAGAAACACGTCCTTTCGCATCAGCTGATCCACTGCCACTCATATATAATATAATTGAATTAATTTGTTTTATCTGTTCCAGATGTCGATGAACAGACGAAAACATTTAAAAGAAGATGGATCATGCTCTTGTTATTCTGTCTTTCTTCAGCTCTCAACGCCTTCCATTGGATACAATATTCCTCTGTTGCAAATGTTGTAATGAGATATTACGACGTTTCTGCGATATACGTCAACTGGTCATCCATGATTTTTATGGCTGTCTATGTTCCTTTAGTATTCCCTGCAACATGGCTCCTGGAGAAGAAGGTACTAACATAACCTTGATCGCTGAAATATAATATAACTATAATAAAACTGCTGGTGGCTCTCAGTGGGGGGGAGAGACTTTCGGGTCACTGTGAGTGATCTAAGCTAAATATAATACGTAAACAAAGTATTATTTTGTAATATACAATGCGTATACAGCTACTAAATATTACTACACCTTACGAAAAAAATATAAAAAATTATCTGTATTAAAATTATCTGTAAATATTAATCTGTTCGCCGTCCAAACCCAGTCCCTTCAGATCAGCTTTAATGCAATCTTCCCACCTTCGCTTCGGTCTACCCCTCGGACGCTTACCATTCGGCACAGCAAATATTAACCTTTTAGAAATTCTCTCGTTACTATGTCCAACAACTTTACAAGCCCATTTGATTCGCCGTGATGAAATTATCTCAATTATATTACTCGGATACAGTTCACGCAATTCGGCGTTGTGTAACCGTCTGAACTCTCCGGTTAACAAAAAAAAATTATCTCTAAAAGTGTTATTGTTTTTGTAGTTACATTTTATTTTTATTTTTTTAATTGGGCTTCAAGCATCAGTTAAACAACATCTAGTTTCTTTCTTTTTCTTCTAAAGTAATAGTCGTCTTATATATATAGTTTTCGGACTGAAGCCCTCCCTCAAATTAAACCCTAGATCCGTTACTCAATATAACTGTAATATAATATGACCTTGAACGGCTCAAATTTAGAAGAAACTTTCAGGAATAAGTAATAATTAAATTGAAGCGACCGATGATTAATTGTAATCATTAATTAAGTCATTTAAATTTTCAATCGATTATGATCATAAAGAAGTTAAACAAAAATAAGCAACTTTTATCAGTTTGTTTTTCACTGAATAATGAAAACAGGAAAACACACGGCTTGAGACACATTAGGAATATTCCTGTCACAGAATAAATGAAATTCGTTCAGTATTGTAAACAAAAAGTTATATAATGTAAAATACGTCTCAAAATATCACAAATTAAAGCAAAAATTATAAACTAAAACAATTAAAAACCTTATATTTATTTTATTTTTTTACATTGACTTGGATTCACTAGCAGATCCAGGATTTTATTTTGGGGGGGCTTCAGCCCGAAAGATTTTTTTTCATATACATATAACGATAAATAATTTGAAAAAAAAAGAAATAAATTAACTACCAATATGAAATGGTGTTTAAGTGGTTCTTCAAGTCCTATTAAATGTAATTAAACGAACAAGAATACTTTAAGAGATAGTTTTTAATATTTTTTTCTGTAAAACATGGTTATATTTTACCATTTTGGGGGGCTTCAGCCCGAAAGCCCCCTCCCCGTAGATCCGCCTGTGCTTTGATTTATTGAAGTAAATTAACTTTTAAAATACACTTTTTATCTATAAAAAAAATATGTAAAATAAATATTTAGTAAGAATATAACAACAGCTTATTTATTTTACCCAAATCAATATATTTTTTTTATACATAAAAAGTGTATTTTATCAATCAATTTATGATAATACATCCCAAGTCACTTTAGAAAAGAAACAAAAGCTTTGTAACACTTATTTACAGGTAATTATTTTTTTTAAATTACTGATACTCTCAGAAGTATTTTACTTTACGTATTGTTTTACAAAACCAGATTACAAATTACAAATTCCGATTATTCTACAACAGCCCTTAACTTAACGGGAACTGAAAAGGGGGGGGAGTTAAAAATTCCTGCCCAAAGTGCCAGCTACTGTAAATCGGAGCCTGGTTAAAACAAAAGTAAATATTATAATTTTAAGCTCCATAATAAATTGAAACCTGATTTTCAAGCTTTTTTGGCGCTTAATTACTTTTTTCAAAAAAACGTCGTCGATATATTTTTAAACTTCCATCTCAATCATTCAAGCTTCTAACTATTTATAGGGTCTTCGTATAGCAATGATTATCGGAGTCTTGATGTCTGCGCTAGGATCCTGGATGAAATTACTTAGCTTGGACAGAGACAAGTTTCTGGTTGGATTCCTAGCCCAGTTTATCATCGGTTCAGCGCAAATGTTTACCCTCAGTCTTCCTGCTAGGTTAGCTGGTCTCTGGTTCGACTCTTCCCAAGTATCTACTGCTTGTGCGATTGGCGTCTCTAGTAATCAGGTTTGTACTTTAAAAATAATATAGTTATTATGAATCTCTATGTAATATCATAACCGACGAAAGGTTTTTTTTTTTTTTTTTTTTTTTTTTTTTTTTTTTTTTTTTTTTTTTTTATCATTTGTCAAAGACTAACCTACTATTAATTACATGCTATTTATTACGGAAGAAAAATATGATTGATTAGGAATGTAAATATCGGAGGGAAAGGGATAATCGATACATATCTTATCAGTGACGGATTTAGGAATTTTCTCAGAGGGGAACGCACATGTATACCAGATGCTTCCCCCACCTCTACCCGCTCCCCCACCACTACCCATCTCTCCCCCCCCCCCATCCTTAGGTGAGTTTAGCTGCTTAAAAGTCCTCTTTAAATGGTTTTAACAAAAGCAAACTCTTCTTATATTTAAAGTAAAATTTGTCTAGTTTATAGGGAAGCAATCGTTAATTACTTAAATTAAATAATTTTTGTTGTTATCACTTCCTATTCAACAAAACTCGTAGCTTACATGAAAAATCACTAAACTTTAATTCCCTACTTTTCTGGTTAAAATCGAAACATTGTTTATATAAACTTTTTAGTATTTATTGAGTTCGGCTATCACTCCTTTAAATATTTCCCTCTAGTTACATTAGGAAATTCGTGTAAGAGAATGAATTTTTCCTACATATTTCTTTTCCTTAAATAGGTATTTTTGTCACTTTTTCAGATTTTCCCCCATCCTTGGGAAGGGCGCGCCCCCTGGCAGAATTCGCTAGTGCTGGTCACGATAATGATTTTTTTTTATATTTCATTAGGGTATTCATCGTCTATTAGGATGAATTTTCTCTATGTTTCCCTTTTCTTTAAATAGCTGTTTTTTTTTTTATTTGTTTCCAGTTTCCAGGGGGGGGGCGCTCCCCCCACGTCAATTAAGCAGCTTAAACATTAAAAAAATAAATAAATGGAACAAAATCAATCGGACACCAAATACCACATCACGCAGCCAATTTGACAACAATGTAATTCATATAAACTATGGGCCGATTTTCAGCAGAAAAGTACAAAATCCAGGCTTTGTGTTTTTTTAACCAAGTCATGCTTTTTGTTGAAAGCGATAACTAATGAAATATTTAATTTAAGTTATTAACGATTCCTTCACTGTAAACTAGACAAAATTTACTTTAAATGAAGATAGAGTTTGTCATAGTTAAAACCATTTAAAGATGAATTTTGAGCGGCTAAACTAGGCTAAATTATGTTTTTAAAAATATCATAAATTATTCGCAATTTTTTTTATCTAACTATACTACAGATACCCCACTTTGAGAAAAACTTTCTCATTTAATTAGCTTGAAGTTCATATCAATTAATTGGAAGTTTTGTTAGGTAAAAACATGATATTCACTTCAAGTTGTGAACTTCTTATTTATTTTAAAACATTCTTAATTGATTTTTCAAATATTTTTCAGGTAAATTGGTTATGAACTCCGTTTTTCACCCAGATATCTGTTATAGGAATTGATCCGTGTTTAAAAGTGACAAAATAAATGTTCATAGTACTAAAATTTACGTTTAAAATTTTAAAAAACTGCTGATAACATCAATTATTTTCATGAAAACATAGATATTTGGATCAAGAACATTTATTTTGTCACTTATAAATACTGATCAACTACCACTATAGAGATCTGAGTAAAAAACACAGTTTCATAACCATTAACCTGAAACATAATTGTAAAGTCATTATTTTTAACATGTGCCATTGACCTTGGGGGAGGGGAGGGGATGGGCATCCCTGGTTATTACTTCCAATTCAACAAAAATCATGATTAACATAAAAAAAAATACCTTTCCTACTTTTTTATTGAAAATTGGCGCATATTTAACATGGACTGTTTTGTAGCACGTGAGGTGTACGGTCACCCCTTTAAATATTTCCCTCTTCTTACAGGACACCCTTTATACCAAAAAAAAAAAACTATTTAGATGAACTGCCGATGCTGTTCATCTTTGCGAAGAAAATAAATAATCACGTAAAAATGGAGGGGTGTATGAATTAATTCTAGTATATGTTGCTATAAATTATTATCTCTGAATATAAATAAAAATTTAAACAATAGGGACATTTAGGTAGTATTAAAATACTCACACACCTACTTCTAGACCTTAGCTTAGGAAGCTAGTCCAATTTTCCTATTATCCAAATCGATATTAGTTTAAATATTTTATTCATTCGTGTAGATCGCTTTATAGTTTTGTTTTTTTACTTCAAATTATTGGGAGTGAGGGGAGGGAGATAAATGATATTCTCGCCCCCACAATATTTTCACCCGAAGTTGATATTGAAAAGGCAGTGCAGTACCGGCTTTAGACATTTTGTCTTACCAGGCAATGACATAATTTCTCCCAAAAACATTAAATTTATTTCTTAAGCTGTTGGAGTATATTGGAGAAGAGAATATCGGTCCTCGATAGTTAAATTTTGATATCGATATCGATATATATATATATATATATATATATATATATATATATATATATATATATATATATATATATATATATTTAAACATCGATTTTTCTATATTATATCAACATCGTGGTTAACTTGATTTAATTATATTATTTTAGATAAATTTAATTGTTTGGTAGCTATTTTTTTCTTTTCTTTTTTTCACAGCTTGGAATTGCACTAAGTTTTCTTATTCCTCCTATAGTTGTCAGAGATTCAGAGGATTATACTCAGATAAGAAGTGACTTGCAGTATCTTTTTATTATGATGGCAGTGCCAACAACACTACTTCTGATTTTGGTATACTTCTGTAAGTTTTTTTCTTTTTCTGGTTTGTAAATATTTAACTGAATATTTCAATATTCGGAATTTCAAAGTGATTTCCTCATCACCATTTATTTGACTTTCACTGTATGAATACCAATTTCTAATTGGTAATTGGTTGACTGTCGTGGATAATGAAGAGAAGAATAGTTGGGGTGTTCAGTCAAAAAGGAAGGCAAAAATAAATTATAATATTTATTTTTTACATATGCCGACGTTTCGACCTGAAGTTCAGGCCTTCATCAGGGCTAAGAAAATAACCAGATAACAAGGTATGAGAAACATAAGTAATGATGGTAAAAAAGATAATAAAAAATATTATTAGAAAAATAAAATAGATAAATATAAAGTAAAATGAAATTGTTAGAATAATGACTAAGAACTAAGAGATAAATAATAAAAAAAGAAAAAACTGTTACATAGTGTGGAATGATGAAGTAGGCATAATCAAAAAGGGGTGACAAAAGTGTTACAATGGGAATCTTAGAATAAAATGTAAAACATAAAAAATAAATATAAAGTTATATAAGAAATGAAAATAAATAGTAAAATTAAAACATTGAGAATGGAGTAGTTAGATAGAAAATTGAGATATTGTAAAGTCTATCAAGATGTACAGACAATGTATAATATAATAAAGAGTTAAAAGCAGAGAAAAGGAATGAAAGGAAGGAGGGAAGAAATTGAGAAAGCTGAAATAAGAAATAAATAAAAGAAGTACTACCTTTCTCCTTAAGTGTCGAAGGGAGAATAAAAGTCGTTACAAGGGAGGGGGAGAGAGAAGAGATGTGTCTACACACATCTTTTTTTTTTTTTTTTTTTTTTTTTTTTTTTATTATCTTTTTTACCATCATTACTTATGTTTCTCATACCTTGTTATCTGGTTATTTTCTTAGCCCTGATGAAGGCCTGAACTTCAGGTCGAAACGTCGGCATATGTAAAAAATAAATATTATAATTTATTTTTGCCTTCCTTTTTGACTGAACACTCCAACTATTCTTCTCTTCAGAATACAAATTTCAATTTATATAAAATTTTAAATAGTGAAACATTAAAAAATTATTAAAAAACGTTAATTTGCTGTATTTCATTTAAATTCGCCTTTCACAAATCAATGTTTATATTTTGTATTTATATTTATATAAATATTAATACATGTTTGCGCCTCCATCTACCACCGTACATTCAAGACCAGTTATAGTTAGGTCCTGACCCTTTACCCATAACAGCAACTTTTTTTTTTAATTAAAGACAAAGAAAAAATTAAAGAAAAAATACAACGTAAATAAATGAAACAATTTATTTATTTGAACAAAAATATATTTAAAATTATAACTTCCCTTTTAATTAGTTTATTAAACGAGCATTTTTCCATTGAATGGATATTTTTTGACAATGTATCACTTTTTAACAATATATTGGAAATGGCACAACAAGAAATATCTTTTATAATGAATTTGACGTTTAGTGCTACAGCTAGAGTATCAACATTCAATTCCTCACTTGACAAAAAATGATTACCAATTGAAAAAACTTTTTCAACTACTGCATTAAGTTCCAGGGCAGCACAACATAAATTCAACAAGAATAAATAAATTTTCATAAGGAATGGGTTCATATTTTAAACGGTTAAATATTTCCCGCCCATCTTTTATCACTTTCAACATGCTGATTTTTCCACTGTTTAATATGTTTAGTTTATCAAAATATAAATATAAATTCAGTCTTTTAATTTCTTCAAAAATACAATTATCATCGATTTTAATACAGGTATTTCTCTCGATAAAAACTTATCACGATTTTCAATATCTGCCCAAATTATTTGCGATTAGTCCAAAAACATCATTTAGAAATCGTTATTTCCTGTTGTATTTGTTTAAGGATCAGTTTTCATTGCATTTGTTTCAGTATTCATTGTTCGAGATATTGAAAAAATGTTTTGTAAAAATTTTACACTTCTTTGGTAAACTTTCCCATTATGGCCGGATTTGACTCTTCTGAGTTTAAAAATTTTCTTTTTATTCTTAAAGGTATAGATTTTTCTTTAAAACATGATTTATATTGAAGGACAAAATCGTTCAAAATATGACTAACTTCTGTAGCTGAAGTAAGTTCTCTTTCAATCTTTTGAATCGTCTTGTGGAAAATTGATGCCTGATTACGTACAAAACATATTAATTATATATCCAATTATTTAACATTATAAACATATTAATTATTATATCCAATTATTTATTGGAATTGAAAGCTTTCAGAAGTTTTGAACATTTGTCTAAACTTAAAAAATATGAACTGAGATGCTTAATTGTAAAAAACGTTCTTTAGCAGGTGTTGTTAGAGCGAGCTGCCTAACTTTTAAATATTCTAAAAGTTTTTTTGTACTTAAAATTTGCGCCTTCACTAAATTGTTTTAAAGTAGACACACGAGCAGTACAAAGGTTAAAATATAAATAAATTTTCGCTATTATTACATCTACAACAACAGGTAAGGCACATAAAGCTGTGTTGATTACATTTAACAAAATATGTGCATTACATCCTATTCCTAATATTCTTTTGGAGCAAATATTGTAATTTTACAGGTGTGTGTTTTATTACTTACTGTATCTACCGTCAGGGATGCTCATCTCTCCCATGGTCGATAGAACAAAAACCTAAAACCAAAAACAAAAAAAACAAGATTCTTGGTTCAGCAGGGATGCCCATCCCCCCAAGATCGATGGTGCATGAACCATCCCCCTCTCTAAAAATTGTATTACTCTTATCTTTTTAAAAACAGTGCATGGGAAAGTAGAATTAGACAAATTGTAGATCATAAACGTTTTCCTCCTAGTTCTCTGTTTTGAAAATTTTCACTGCAAAATTTTATAGTCTCATCGAAATTGTTTGGAAGGACATCCCAGTGGATGGATTTAGATTATTAATAGATGAATATGGTGCAATGCACCGAACGCTTGATGTAACAATAAAATTAAATGAGACTGAATTAAAAGGGTATTTTTCCATATTTCCAGAATACTATATACAGTCTACCTATTATACATAGTTACCAGATTTTTCATTAAATTTTAATAATATTCACTTTAATTTTAGTTTTTGAAGCATCCCCACCTGCTCCTCCCAGCTTGGCTCAGCTTTCTGCGAGGGAGAGAGAAAAGGGAAGAGGAACTAGTTACAGTACTGTCTTAAAGACACTAATAACCAACAAAGATTATGTTCTTCTTATGTTAAGTTATGGATTAAATGTGGGTGTTTTTTATGCATACTCCACACTACTAAATCAACTGTTTCTAATTCACTTTCCAGTAAGTATATGTGTTTTAATTATATGAACCAATTAGAAATGTGATAAAACATCACTGAATGTATTCAAGATTTCAATATTTCTCTAGATAAAAAAGTTTACTTTATTCATTTAAATAAAAATCATAAAGTACTATTAGTACTTTTTTTAATGAATTGTGCATTAGAAATAGATTTTAATTTTAATCTTTATATTTCAATAATTAATTTAGCAGTGGTATTTTAAGTACATCAAATATTTGATGCACTTTTTATTTCAACCAAGACTAAACAAAAAAAAAAAGATAAAAAGATTTTCTGAAATCTCACAGTTGTTTAAGCATTTCAAAACTATCTTGATATGTTTAATATACAATGTTTTTATATAACATTTTTTTTTCAGTCTTACACTCCTTAGTTTTGTTATTTATTAGTAATTACGTTATGAAATTTTTACATATTAATAATATACATTACAGGACCCATACCAAGCCTATCCTCTTTTGAAACATATTTTATCTTAGCTGAATATGGTCTGTTCCACCACCTACCCCACATTCAAACTTCCGAAAACATGTAAAATTACTTGCATCTGTACATTGTTTAATGTCAATCTACTGCACATTTGCAATGACGATTAACAGTTAATTAGTTTATATTTTTTATTATTATAAGTCACACTTAGACCCATAAATTTGTAACTCTGTTATTATTCTTAGGGGACAGTAGTCCCAGAATAAAATTATTTTTTCATTTCATTTCATTTGCAAACCTCCTCCATTTTAATAATATAGTTGAAGTTTTTATGATGCAAATTGATATAGTGATTACTGCAGACTCTTAATTGACTTACAGTCCTTATTTTTCGTATCCTAACATTGAATTTTAGGTAATTTTCTAGTTGAGGTAATAAGTAACTGCAAATACTTCTATAAAGAGGATTATAATTGGAATTAAAAACAAGTTAAATATCTACAGAATACAGGTTGTTTGGTACTCTTTCCAAAATAGTGTTCCAAAATAGTACAGGACTGTATGAATGCTTTAGTGAGGGGGAACATTTTTAATATCGTCTACGAAAGAGAAGTGATAAAATGACATTCGATGAAATAAAAGAATGACAAAAAGATGAATTATATTATAATGATACATTTTAGGAAATTTCATGAAGCAGTGCATGTTTGCAGGATCTTGAAAATGAATCCTGAAGCCGAAACATCGAATAAATAATACAGGATGTAAAAATTGTGTACATTGGTGGCCTTTGGCCTAATATTTTATAATAACTTTAAAATAAAATAAAAAAATGTATTTTTATTTTTCTCTGACTTCAATCCACAACCATAATTATATTTCAATAAAAGTTATAACTGTATACATTTTTCTACCTTTGTTGATTCCAGAGAAAGAAGTATATTAGTGGAACACCTGATAAGATTAAGTTTATAGTATATATTAAATTAAGTTATTTAAAAACTATAAATTGATGTAATTAACAATATTTTGTATTTTCATTGATAGAATGGACAAACTGAAGCTGGCCAAATAGGATTGACTTTAATCATAGGTGGTATGTGGGGATCAGTTGTTTGGGGTATAGTTCTGGATAAAACTCATATGTTCAGGTACGTAAATATGCCATTCATAAGTATGGAAACCTACTATACACAGAGATTTTATCTTAAATTCAAGTTTACATCATTGTGTTTATGGAACATTTGTAGCTTATACAAACCAGGAGCCACAAAAACGGTAGTCAACGTACTAAAAAGGTATAATATACTATGAACAGCCATCCAAGATATAAGATGGCTAGAAGGTGGTGATACCACTATCGACATACATACACTATTCTACAATGGGAAAAACAATAAAGATAGAACAGCCAGCACCTGATTTATAGTTAATCCAGCAGCAAGGAAATCAATCATTAACTTCAACCCAATTAACGAAAGGATTAGTGTATTAAGAGTTAAAGGACGTCAGTTTAATACCACGATTATTAACGTGTATGCACCAAACGAAGATAAAGAAGAGATGAAGGATGATTTCTATGAACAGTTGGAAAATATTGCAGAGCAAACTCATAGACAGGACAAGAACCCCAATACAGCCCCATTATCAGAGGTCGAAGTCTTCACAGAAATAGCAATGACAATGGAGTGAGATGTATCAGTCTGGCAGCAGGTAAAGGTTAGTTGTCAGCAGCACATCCATAAGTACACTTGGGTAACCTCCAAAACAGCAAAAAACCAAATAGATTGTGTGCTGGTAGACAAGAGACATCAGAGCTCAATACAAGATGTAAGAAGTTATGGTGAAGCAGATTGTGATTCGAATAAAAAAATTGAAGAAAATTCACAAAACAGGGGATCGAGTTGAAAGGAGATGCTAAGTTTGTAATTTGAAAAATCCTGAAGTAAAAACCAAATTACAACTTGAGCTGAAGAATAACTTTGAATCCTTGAACTCAAAGTGGACCAACACAGGGCTTAAATAAATAATAGGAATTCAAGAGAAATGAAAAGCTAAGAAGTGGTCCACAGAATCATGGGAAAAGGCAATAGAGGAAAGAAGGATCACCATTAGAGCTGTTTAAAGATAGAAGAGATGACTTAAGAGCCAAGTTACTACAACTAATCCACAAAATATGGGAGCAGAGACTAGGAGCATGGGTCTAATCTTCCCTATCCTAAAGGAAGACTCCATGTATGAGTTTAGTTATTATAGAGGCATAGCAGTCTTTTCTGTAAATAGCATAGTAATAATAGCAGTCCTAAAACAAGCCTATGATTCCATGGCCAGAAACTGTCTTTCGATAATCATGACTGAACTGGAATTTCCAGGGAACCTGGTGAAATTGAGTAAGATGCGCACATTGCCCTATATGTCGAATCCTTATAGAAGAAATATCTGAATCCTTCAAACTTTGAATTGGCTTGCAGCAGGGATACGGTGTCTCACGGATTTTGTTCAACTAACAACTGGGAAATGTGATAAGAACATCACATGAATATGGAGGGGTGAACATCGGAATGAATCATGAAATCCTTGGTTATGCAGCTGATATAGCTGTCCTTTGAAGCAATCAAGAGGACACTGAGAGATTTGCTAAGACTGACAAGAGAAGCTGAGCCAATATGCCTACAAGTAAATGAAGATAAAATAAAGTATATGAAAAGTAAAAAATTCCATCCATACAGCAGGATCTGTGTGAAAGAAAAAATCGTTACTCAGTACACATGAAGTAGATAGACCAATAACTACTTACAGAAACTTGTCAATCAGTATCAGTTATGAAGGCAAGGAAGTTAAGCTGGGTGGGGCATGTAGCTTGGAGTAATCCAGGAAGCCTCTACACAACAATAAATGTCTCAAAAATAGGCAAGAGACCACATGAAAGGCCATAAACCAAATGGATAGACAAAAATCAACAAAGATGCAATAGAGCTGCATTCAGATAACTGAAAAAAAAATAGTCCAAGAAGGACAGTGATGGAGAAGGCTGATTAAGGTGGCAAAGATCTAAAAGGTCTGTAATGCCATCGGAAAAAAAAATGTATATATATATATTTACATTATTTTAAACTAAATTACTAGTATAGTTATTATATTTATGTTAGATATTGTTTAAATAAATATTTTATTTAGAGCAATTTGAAATAGGCAACTACTGGAAAGAAATCAAACTGTACAGAAAAAAAGAGAATACTTTCTTTGGAAACAGCATGTATAGAATAATTTGACAAAGTCTTATACCAGTTGCTCCACACAACCTCAGGTTAGCACAAACTGAAACCAACATCACATTTGGTGACAGCTCAAACCTAAAAGTGGAAGAGATTTTAAAAGAAGAAAGTGTTGTTTAGATAAGCATATACACAGTTTTATAAAAAATTAACAAGGGATCATTAGTAGGTCTGTAAAAAAGGTATATACCTACCAAGTTTCATAAAAATCAGTAGTTATCGTTAAACGCTCATGACCCTCTCCCCTCTTCAAGGAGGACAACTCATTTATTCCTAAGGAAAATGAGTAGCCCTAAGTTTTATCACAATGGGCCAAATCAACAGTACTTTTAGCTGTCAGATGAGAAATTCTTTTAGCAACTTTCCAAACATATTTGTCTCCCCAAGCAAACTAACCAGCAACTGTTTTTTGTTTTTTTTTAGTTTTTAATCTCTCTTCCTGTTTATTCTAGATAAGAAATATTTTTGAAGTGAACTTTTAAGTTTAAATAAAACGAAATACTTCAATTGTTTTAATAATATAAAAATTAAAAAATCATTTTTTAATTTTTATGTTTGCATATTTAAATTTTAAAAATATAGCTAGATAAAATTGATACCACATTTTTAAAACATATTTCAATGATTTTTCATAAATCTAAAAATTATTAAATATTTGTATGCATACTAGGTTAGGCATAATATTATTAAATTACTTCTGCTTAAAATGCATACTTGACAAATATAAAAGTAAACCAATGACTGGATCATTGATGAGGAACAAGATTGTTTGTTTGGGTTTATTAAGGGTGTAAAACTACTAGGCCATCAATGCTCGTTGGTTTAACTTGGTATTAGTTGGTTATCCACCAGTCTGAACCTGACAGAACACCAATGAGAGGCGTCCCCAGACCCGAAGGGGCCTAAGTCCCACACGTCAGATGGTGGTTTGATGGGGACACGAGGATTGAACAGATAGGGATAAAAACCATGTGGTCTACCTTGAGTACATTGGTACAATCCACCAATGCTTACAATTATTTGAAATTCCAAATCCTCTCAGATCTTTGGAACTCTCTGGGAGTTGCAGAGTCTCCATAGCCGCCAGCACAACCCCCAAGGGATCCAAGAAAACCCGAAAAACAAGATTTATGATTGATATACTGATTCAATGAAACAAAATATATCCCTTGATTTATAAACATATTTATTGTTAGCTACAGCTTTATTGGTGGATAGAAAATTTTATTTATTATTTACAACTAAGTTTTATATCAAAAATTCTTTAGTTAAACAACAATTAATTACTTATAGCAGTAGGAATGTTGTTTTAAATGGAACTGGTAATAATTCAGTACTCAAAACATCAAAGATAATTTAACAGGAATGTATTTTTCAGAGGTACTACTTTACTGGTGTATGCTATGGGAGTAGTTGGAATAGTTGGTTTCACATACTCACTATCATATAAGCATTTGATTATGATTTACATCACCTCTGGTTTTTTAGGGTGAGAATTTATAACTTAAAATTAAAATATATAAATTTATCACATCCAAGCTAAAAGTATCCAATTATTATTAATGAAACGTTTTTACATGTTTATTTTCCCAGGTTTTTCATGAATGGTTATTTGACAGTAGCTTATGAATTTGCAGCCGAATTAACTTATCCTTTACCAGAAAGTACATCCAGTGGATTACTAAATGCAATTGGAGAAGCTTTGGGAGTAGTTCTGGTTCTTGGTGCAGGAATAATACTGGATGCAAAAGGAGATTTCCCAACTAATTTATTACTTTCATCAGTTCTCATTTTAGGATTACTAATATCTTTTTTCATTTCTGGAAAAAAACTGCAAAGGCTAGCTGCTAGTCATGTGCAATCATAATGATAGACTTAAAACTTATTATGAACTAATTCTTAGCTATTTCAATTTTTTTTTTATTCCATTCATAATTGAATTAGCTCAAAGAACATAAACTCAAATCTAATAGATATTTAATTCTCAACTTATTACCATAAAAAGTAATAAACAATGTCAATCAAGAATTATTTCAATTACAATGAAATAGAATAAATACATCCATTTTATTCAATTAAAAAAAATCTATCGTTTTCATACTTGTAAGGAAAATATGAATTCAATATCATATTAATTTATTAGAACTCTGATTGTTTACAGTTTTGAATTAGCAATCAATAAATTGCACAACCATTAATTAAACTTATTTCATTGATCTATTTTTGATATACCAATATAATTATTCTTATATTGGCATGATAATTGTATAAATCACTGGTCACTTGGCTCAACAACTGCCAACCATCTTTAACTATTTATTTATTTTTTTTAAATTGCCAACTTAATTAATTTTAAATTAAGTTAAACTTAAACTTAATTAACTTTAAATTGCCAACATTTTTTGACTGGCAACCATCTATCTTTATCTGTTGTATAAACAACAGAGAACTCTAATGACCGAAGCTCCTGCACTATGCATTGATACTTTGTCTCCCACATGGGCATCCACCATCAGAGACAATACATTTCAACAATAAATGTTAATACATTTCATTGGCTCTTTTCTTATCACCCCTCCTCATAATACTGCCTAGCAAATTCATAATTCAAATTTTAAGTAATATGTAGGATTTCTTAAGTAATATGTTCCTACAACTAGTGCTCCAAAAGCTTTTCTAATAATACCCTGATGGGAACAACCAATTATCAATGCATCCCCTGCAGGCTAGGAGTTGATTCATCTTTATAAATATTGTTTCTTCATGATTCAGTTCTGCCTTATTGACAACTGCTTGTAGTGTAAAAGAAGAGGTACTGGGTTTCGTTGTCTCTTAGTTTAATTTTAACACCAAAAGGCTCGACTTGTCAGATAGTATACACAATTGTGCATTTTACTAATCCAATTAATTTTGTTAGTCTACATGGAAAGCACAATTCATAGCCAATGTGAGTTTATTCACCATAACTGCATCATAAGATACTCTAAAATCAATAACCAGCCTCTATGTAATCTATTGATACTATTTTATATTCCCAGAAATGATCATTACAATTATGTATTTTAAATGTATATATTAATGTGAGTCATAAAATCAATAAAATAAAAGAACTTGTAAAATTATTATCTTATTGCAGATTTTCAATGAAACAATCTATATTCATTATATTGCACCAAATTGTACAAAGTACCTCAAATGATTTATATTTATGTTTTGGTTAATTTATTTATTTTTTATTAATAAATTAATTTTATTTTTATTATTAGTTTTTTCTTTTTTTTAAAATAAAAATATCTCATTACTAACAGCCAGTACCTATACCTACTATACTATAGGTGGGGAACCTTGGGGTTCACATTTGGCCGAAATTAATAGAATAAAGTTTAATGTATTTATCTGGGTTATTTATTTATTGATAAATAAAAATAACAACGGTGAAATATAAAGAATTATTGTAACCTCCATTAGCACTGCCTAACCTAACTACGGCCTCTGATGATAAAAATGTTCCTCACCTATGTACTATATTATACAAAGACAATTTTAAGTTTTATAATTGAAATAAAAGAAATATATTTGAATAAATGAATGAAAAATTATCTTTATTCTGGGGCACTTAAACAAAATAATTCAAGTAGCATTTGTATGGCTGAATTATTGGAACATAAGTTGATTATAAACTAAAAGACTATAACATTTTGATTATAAATAAAAATATAAAAATTAAGAATAGATACAAATGAACATATATGTAAAAACTTGCGCAGACATTTATTCATTACATGTATTTGGAAGTTTCATAATTGAGATAGAAAAATAAATGGTGTTTAAATGAGGTTAGGGAGGAAGCTGTACAAATGCAGTTGCTTGATTTAAATATTGGAATAAGAAGGTAAAAAGAATGCACAATCATATGAAATTAGAATATAGCCAACCTTGCCCAGAGAATACCAGTGAGAAATGTGAGAAGTGATTCATTAATGTTTTTAATTTTATCTTATAGTATTTTCATAATGTTGATAAATAAAGTTGAAAAAAAAATTAAATACAAAATTTATTTACAAATCTATTTAAAACTTAATTTAAGCACTTCATTAAATAAACCATCTAATTTAAACATCAAAACTAAAATTGAAACATTTATTTTATAAAATAACAAAATAAAAATTAGCCATAATTCCTTGATTTCTGGTTTTCTTGATTCATTAAATGGTAATACACACCTTTCTTATTCATTAAAAATTCATGAGATCCCATCTGTAATAAAAAAAAAAAAAAATGAAATTATTTAATACTTTTATTATTATTTTTCCAAAGTTTTCCATGGATCTCACCTGAGTTACTCCAGGACATTAATTAAAGTAAAATAAATTATTGATTAGTTTATAATAAAAAACTTCCAATTTCTGACAATATTAATTAAATCAGTTCAATGCTTTAGATTTCTTTGTCTATTTTCAAATCACTTTATTTAAAAACATACATTTTATCAACTGAGTTGAGCTCCGGCCACAGTAGAGTTATCATCTGAGTGTACGCTTGTGATTAGTAAGTTTGGAAAAAGTGCACCGATATTGAAAAAATTTCACTTACATATAGTATTAGTGACAATAAGTGGTTAAAATCTCGTTCACATACAGTGAAAGAAAGAGAAGATATTGGATGAAAGAAGTATAACTGTTCAGTTACAAGAATTAGCTAACAGGCGGGCAGCAGGAGAGCTACGTAATCCATCAGCTGGTACCACTGATAATATTGTTGTCAATACAACTACAACCTATTTATGTGAGTAAAATTAGAAATAACTATTCATTAAAATGGAACAAAAGTTAAATGAAATTTTACTAAAGCTAAATAAATTATATCAGTCAGAAATTCAAGTTAATGAAATTAAAGACAACATAACAGTATATTTAAAAAGAGTGAAGGAAGATATAACTAAAATAAAAGGGAAGATAGAATTATATGAAATAAAAAACGATAGAGAAAAATGTAAATACAACATATTAATTTACAGGATAAAGGGCTGTGATAACCCAAGATCAGTATTGGATAAGTTCTAGGAACTCTTTTCATTTATAAAACTAGATGTAAGAAGATATGATGTGGATTGTATAATATTTCTAAATAAAATAAAAAATAATAGAATGGGCAGTTATAATAACCCTCACATCAGTAGCAATAAGATATGACATTTTGAGGTGTAATAAAGAGTTGTTAAAATGTAGTGAATATAAGGACATAAGAATCAAAGAGGACCTGTTACCGGAGGTGTGAGCAATAAGACAACTCTTTCCTTATCTTAAAATACAAAAAAAAAACTAGGAAAAAGAGTTTCAACAAGAAATGATAAGCTACAGATAGAAGGTAAGTCTACACTTTAGACGAAGGTTCTAGAGGAACAGAGGAGTAAGAGAGGAAGAAGTGAAGAGAGCTCTCCTGAAGTTCAGGAAATAAGAGACAGCACATCATTAAAACTACTAGTCACAAAGTGTTAAAAAAAAAAAAAAAAAGAGAGACAAACCTCCACAGAGAAGTAAACAGAAGAAGGAGTAAGTGAGCAGGGATTGAAGGAAAAATAGTAAAGTGAGTAAGGAAAGGAAAATAGGAAAGTGAGTTCAATATTTGTACACTGAACGTTCAAAAGTTTTAAAATATCAAGACTTTAATTGTAGAATTGCTTCTATATCTATTAACGAATAAATGAAACAAGAGAAAACCATAACTGTTCAAAATAATAAAACTAATTTATTGGGAGAAACAAAAATTAAATTAATGTTTAAATGTCTCTTTGGTAACGGTGAGAATAAAAAACAAAAAACGAGCCAAGCTGGAAGTTCTGCTTCCAACCAGGTTACTTTATGCAGCTAATGACCACAGCAGTCGATAGTGGGGGAATCGATATGTATATTGATCTCGATTAATGACTAGAGATGACACAGCTGGGCTCTTCAAAATGCCGCTAGGCTGGTGCCAGGTGAGGTGAGGTGAACCTGGAGCTGGTGGGGGTAGACGTCCACTACATGGATCCAATGACAACAAAGGCTTGCTCCAGAATGGCTTTAGACCGCATCCTGGCAGTTTTATCATAGTATTTTGATGTCTTAATCCCTAAGACTGGGTATTACTGCCGGGATGGTGCATATACAAATGCGATAATACGTTGCGAACAAAGCCACATATATAAACAATATACACTGAAATACATTGTAGAGACACTATCTCTCAATTTTTTTTAGCAAAAAAAAAAAATAAACATTTCATTATTAACATTTAAAAGGGGTGAATGGTGAGAAAAAAATAATAAAGATATGAGAGTATGCGGCATTAACACAGACAATGGGTACAATTTTCAACAGAACAGTTCAGCTCCTATCATATGCTGATGATACAGATATAGTTGGCAGATCATATCAGGCTGTATCCCAAACATTTCTGGCTCTCGAGCCTGTCACAAGAGGTCTCGGCCTAATTGTCAACCAAGACAAAACAAAGTATATGGTGTCTGATCAACCCCCTGAAAGATCGGTATGAAACTTGCGTTTGGTCCCTGCATGTTTGAACAAATGTCGGAATTCACATATCTTGGTGCACAAGTGACGTGCGACAATAGTATCTCAGCAGAGACGCAGAGAAGAATGATCTCAGCGAATCGCTGTTATTATGGATTCTGCTCCCACCTATCGAGCAGAACTGTCTCGCAACGCATCAAGGTTATCCTCTACAAAACCCTCATCCGCCCTGTTTTGACTTATGGTTCTGAGACCTGAACTACCACAAAGGCATATGAACGGAACCTCCTTGCTTTTGAGAGGAAAGTCCTTCACCGAATTTATGGGCCCACCTGTGAAAACAAACAATGGAGAATGCGTAGAAATAGAGAAATCTATAACGAGCCTGATGTAGTCGCGATTATCAAGGCAGGAAGATTAAGGTGGGCGGGAAACTTCGCAAGGATGCTAGAGCAATCAATCTCGAAGAAAATAATAACGGAGCAGCGATTCGGCAGGCGCAGAGTTGGAAGACCCAGGCTTCGGTGGTCGGACTATGTCGCAAGTGACTTAATGGTCCATTGGAATGAGAAATAGGATGGCACTAGCACAGAATAGGGACGTATGGCAATCGCTGTTGGAGGAAGCTAAGACTCGCTTGCGGGTTGTTGATCTGAATTATATATATATATATATATAGACACACACACACACACACACACACACACACACACACACACACACACACATACATACAGGCTTACACACAATTTAAATGTCAGCGGGTTAAAACTGATAAAAAAAATTAATAGATTGATAACATATAAAAGTCTGAAATAAGATTGCTTTATCCCATGTAATCTTCTATTATACAATTCGATTATGTTTACATCTATGAATTGGTATTGATGCTAATACTCTCGCACTTCAGACCTTAACTTACATAAATGCCTTACTGTAATTTTCTGTATAAGCAATAAGGGTTTAAATCTTTTAGTTGCAAGATCTTAGACCAAGAAAGGCATTTGTAGGAAATAATTTATAAAGTTTTGACCTTCACAGGAGGTTTTCTTTTTCTGGTCAGGAAAAAGAATCAAAAGAGTTCTCACTTTATTTCTGGATGAAACATCCCCAAATTCGCGAAATTTTGAATTTGCATTTAAAGAAGTTGAAGAGAGAACAATATAGAAACCAATTAATAACTTAAGAGAAATGCCTAGAGAGAATATAAATAAATCATAAAAAGCAAACTGAAAATAATATATTTAACAACAGGTTTATACGATAATATAAGCTCGAAGTAATCTGTAAATAAACCTTATGAATTAATGAATATGTAAATATATATATTTTCAAATATATCTTAAGACTCATTATTTAATTTGAATAATATATAGTATAGTGAGCTGTAACCTTTGACAAATATTTATTAATTTAACTGAAAAAATAAATAATATAGTGAACCACAAAGCAATAACTATTAAAATAAAATTATTATTACCTCTAAAATCACTCCTTTCTGAAGCACTGCTATTGTATCAGCATTTTTAACAGTTGACAACCTATGAGCAATTACTAATACGGTCCTACCTTGACAAATTCCTTCTAAAGTTTTTTGAACTACCTTTTCAGCTTCAGGGTCTAAAGCACTAGGACAAAAAATAAACTAGGCTTAGGACTAAATTAAAAGTAAACATATATAATAAAAGGGATAAAAAACATAAAATAACATTATAAAAATAAGCTGAAATATAATAAGAATTAGATAAAAACAATTAAGAAGTTTGAATTAAGGAAAAAAAAATCTTTTACTAATCATTTAGAGTCCAGTAAAGTTAAGGGAATAAACAGCCTTACCCCAATATTCAAAGAATAAAGATAAAACCAAAATTGTTTATTCCCCTCCCCATAATAATTGGTAAAAAGTCCCGAAGAATCCCGCGTCGGGTTTGGATGGGGGGAGAGGAGAAAGGAAAGAAAACTGATATTTTTTTTTAGTTTTTTGAGAATATTTCAAAAACTATGCGGTTTTTGGCAAAGATTGTTCAGTACAATATTAAAGTACTTTAAAATTTCCATAAAAATAATCTTGCACATTTTTTTTATAAAATCAGTGGTTACGGAGATATTTATAAGATTATATTTATTGTATTTCCACTTTAAGCAAAAATTGCTTCAAACCACAAAATTGATGTTGTTCATAGTAAACGATACCTTTTTGAAGTTTAATTAGTTTTTAACATTTTTGTTCATTCAAATTATTATTAGAATTTTCTTTCTTTTAATGATTCTTAAAATTCATTGACAACAGAATTATATTTGATATCAATCAATGGGGAATTTTGTGATAATGATATGAAGTTTAGATCAACATTAATTTCATATAATTGATAATATGTGATAGAAGACATTAAAACTTACAAACATTTATCATAAACCATGGTCTGATTACATACAGAGAACCATAGAACTTAATTTTGTAATTTTTAAGAGAACCACGTTTTATAATGACTATATAAAAAGCTGCTTAAAAGCCCCCTTTACATGGTTTTAAAAAAGACTAAATTGACTTGTATTTAATGTAAATTTAATCTAGTTTACTATGAACTAATTGATTGTAACCTTAATTAAAAATGTTTTTAGTTTTTGCTTTTTATTCAACATAAAATGTGATAGATTCACCTGATAGTTTTTGAGGTATCCTCAAAAAACTAAAAACAGTATCAGTTTTCTCCCCTCCTTCCATCAAAACCCAGAGCGGATTTCTTTAGGACGTTTTACCAGTTATTATGGGAGGGGAATAAACAATTACCAAGAAGTATTCGGGAGGATGCTGTTATAATAGTTATATGCTGTTTTTTTTTTTTGTTAGTTGAATTTTTAGAGATTATTCAGTAATTATTTCAATTGGACATAGCCTCTTTCCTCAAAAGCTTTTTTTTCATAATCCTTGAACCATTAGGCATAACAAAATAAAAACTGTCTTTCAAGTTCAATGTTAATGAAACAGATACAATTAATTCATTAAGCAACGATAACAATATCGTCATACAATAGTTTAGCCCATGGAATGTGTTGTACAGAAGAACATGTACAGAAGTTTAGGTATCTTGGGTCTACCATAATAAGAAAAAAATAAATTGAAGAGATCAAGTTTAAGTTGAAGGCAGGAAATGCTTGTTATTTTTCTGTAACAAAACTACTTAGCTCACTTCTCCTGTCCCGAAACTTGCAAATTAAAATTTACAAAAGCATTATCCTAAGGTTCGAAATAGATGGGAAATGTGGCTGCTTATATAAAAGAATGAGCAACATCTTAAGGATTATGAAAACAAAATATTGTGTGGAATATTTAAACTGAAGAAGGATGAGTCAACCAGAGCAATTAGATGGTTATACAACACCAAATTGTGAAAACTGTGTTCGATTAATATAATTGAGGTGTTTACATTGGAGAGAACCAAATGGGCATGTAAAATTATTGGGCTTAATAACAAATGAATCCTTAAAAAGTTAATATGCACTGCACCGACTGGTAGACAGAGGCGAAGGTGGAAAGATTGTGCAGACAGCAATTCATGGTATCGGCATTGAACTTTCAACTTTGCTAAGCCTTTTATTATTATTACCCCTTCAGTAAAAATATAGATAAAAAACTCAAGGTGACAATTATCACTGCCTATAAGTTCTTTAAACATAATGCAACTTTTATTAAATCAAGGGATTTCTTTTTTAAGATCAAAAGTTAAACACTAATCATTAAACACTGGATGTTAAGGTTCATAACATGGTCCTGTTCTTAAAAGATTGAGCGTGTTGACTCAAATGTAGATCATATTCCTAAAAATTCAGTTGTGCGTGAACACAATCTTTGCTTATGTGTTAGAACTTTAAATTTAAAAAAAAAATTAAATTTTCTAATCAAATAGTATGGTTTCCAGTATAACAAAAAAAATAAATAAATAAGCATGGTTGAAGGATCTCAAGGCCATAAAGTTTATACAGCCAGCCTTTGATGAAATATACAATTCAAACATGAGAATGAATATGAATAATTATAAAGTTTGAACCCCTCCCTATACTAATTTGTACCAAATTAACCAGTCAATGTAGGTTTTACATCATGGATTAGTATATTTACCTGCATTTTAGAGGCTCAAGGCTTTGTATTTTGATTTTTTCAATTACATCCTAATAATTTTATAAATCAAAGATTAAAAGTCCTGTAACATTTTTTATCACATAATATTTACTTCATAGAACAACAGCTCTAAGAAAAGAATTTTTGCTAAAATTTCACTGAATATAATCAAAAGATAATGGATTAACAGGTAGTAGTAAGAGCCGGTAATAAAGGGTGGAAAGCACGTAAAAAAAAGTGGTAGACGTAAAGCTCGTTACTCGTAACAGCAAAAAGTTTAATAGATAGAACATCATTCTTTGGTATTGGACAAGTTAAGAGTAAATAACACCTTAATAAGTATTTTATAATGCATAAGCAACTACAATAATGAAATATGACTACCTTGTTGCTTCATCCAAAATTAAAATAGCAGGCTTCTTAATCAAAGCTCTAGCTATAGCGATTCTTTGTTTTTGCCCACCAGATATGGCAACACCACGTTCACCAACTATAGTTTCATATCCTTTTGGAAAGCTCCTAATAAATTCATCAGCATTTGCTAACCTGGCAGCTTCATAAACCTAAATAGAATAAAACTTCTTAAGACAGGTAGAAATATTGATAATTATTTTTAAAATAACCAAATTAAAATATTGTTTATAAAATCGTGAATAAAGAAATAAATAAACCCTGATTTAAACTGATTTTCTCAAGAAAGAAATTTATATCTGATTTCCTCTATATTGGAACCGTTATAATAGCCAAAGCCAATTCATCTGCCATTTCTTCCCATGCACAAATCTGTAGTAGTAAATCGTACATTTATCTACAAAGTGCTTATCTCTCAACATGAATGTCATCAATGGCAGAGCATTTATGATTTTTAGGAATGCTAATCGTGTATTTATTAGCATTTAACTTCTTGTTTTTGTTTCTTTTGTTTTGTTTTTTGGCCTATTCTTGTAGAAACTTGTAAAGAGTTGAAATAATTTCTTAGTACTTCCATTTTTGGTAAGAACTTCCTGCTGTACTTTTCCTTGGGATTATCCCAGTATTGATAAAAAATAATCCAAAGCTAGTTTCTTTTGTCCTCAATGCTATTGACACTCCCGAATTAAACTTATTTGTTTTGTTGTATATTCCTATATATTCATAGAGGTATATATAATATATATTCATTAGAGCAGAGATGTTTCTACAGCTTATCATTTATCCTTCCATCCTTTTCCTCAGGTGTCCTTTACAGACCACTAAAATGAATAAATTCCATGTCCGAAAGTAACATCTTTTATAATGCTCTATACATCTTCTTTGTTCTTTTTCTCACCACTGAAGGAGTTTCCTCAAATAAGACCTAATTATACTACAATAAAGGGACAAAATTAAAGTAAAAGGACAAATACTCACAAAAATTAAGATTTAGTATTTTTTTTAAAGATGCTATGGTAACTCTTTATTAAGAAATTCAATTTACTTAGTGGGTTTTTTTTTTCTGATGCATAAACACTCCAATATAATATAAAATGATGTAATATTTAACATACTTCTTCATCTGAGGCTGTAGGTTTTCCATATTTAATATTTTCTTTGATGGTTGTGGCAAACAGAACAGGTTCTTGGTTAATAATGCCAATGGCAGAACTTCTGAGCCAGTTGGGATCCAGATTAGAAATATTAACACCACCTATTGTAATAGAACCACTGTTTACATCATAAAACCTAAAAATTAAAAAATAAAAGGAAAAGATTAAATGCTATTATATTTACAATGTTATAAAATGTATAATTTAAAATTTAAACAAATATATATATCAATAACAACATAATATAAGTTTTTACAATAGATAAACAACTTCATAACATAAATGGTGAAAGACACATAACATATTTAATAGATATATTCAATTAAAAATTATCTGATAATTTTTAGATGAAAACTATTATTATTATTTTTTTATTAAATCAATTCAAGTTAACCTATAATTAAAAATCTGGTATAGTGCGCGCAACACACAACTTTCACTTACCACCCTAATTTTAGTAAAAATAGGTCTTTTCACCATTTGATGTTTTAGGCTCAAAACATCTAAGTCATTAGCGCCAATAACAAAGTAATACCACTTGTTGGGAAGTCAATCAAAACTGATGTTTTGTTATATAAATATTTAAATCATTTCACATAGTTAAAAATATTCATATGTGATTCATTAATTTCATTAAGTTAATTCCATTGTAGTTAAGTGAACAATTGGTACTGAACCATATTGGTTCCCATTGTGTAGAAGAACAAATTTCAAGTTTCACTTTGAGCTATCAATAGATAGGTGCCAATTATCTGGAAAATATGCAGGAAGACTCATTATTTCCAGAAGTCCTCTAATATCGAGAAAAATACAAGATTTTCTTCTGGTCAGAAGAATGGAAGCAGACCCTTTTTTCTTGTACAATAAAAACTAATTTTGGTTCCTTGTTCTAGTAAATTTTTGTCAGTCGATCTGGAAGCCAGTAATACAGAAGCTTTTATTGACAGATTAAGATCTCTGAGGAGCTCATTTAACTTATTTTGGTTGAAACATTGAAGAATTGTTGACATCATCACTGTCACCTTTATTAGAACAAGAAGGGTGATAATAGGGGCAACACCCACCCTCAGAAAGCTTTAAAAGCTGGTGAAATGCTGCAATCAGTACTTCCTCTGAGTAAGGAACTGGGCATCTTGCAGAGACTAAATCAAGATAAGGCTACTTGATATGGTTGCTTTGATTGATTCTAGTACAGATGTTGTTTTTGGGTTCTTTCCAAACCATTGATACTCCGAATTTCAAACTTTTTTTTCCCCATTAGTCCAGTGGCATAAATGTTCTGTAAACATTACAAACCTGATGCAGTGCCCAGGATTTATCCTGATCAGCGAGCTTAACACCAAATATACCAAAACATCGATGATAAGCTCTCTTTACAAGTTCACTAACAGTATTTCTGTTATGTTTTAGTGTGTATTCTCCACATATGTAGCAAAACACATCAGGATGATTTACAGAACTTCTTCTACTTGAACTAATTTTTTATCAACACTGATCTCAAATTTAGTTGAAGCATTGAAATGAAGGATGGGATTCCCAGTGACAAAGTGAGAATTCCCAGCCTTGTCAAGCAGGAAAGAAGCAGCTTGAGTCAAGCAGGTGGTTTTACTTCTCTTTTAAACTTATCTCAAAAAGTAGAGCTAATAGAAAAAAACTAATTTCTTATTTAGATTTAGCTAAAATCAGCTTAAAAATCCTAGGCACCAAAAAAATTTGTTTTCTATTAGGCTTGTGTCTGTATCTGTTATAGCTGTTCTTTAATCCTTACTCAATGAGCTTCCCCACTCCCAAAACTTAATAGCAGACTCAGACTCTTCATTTAGTGTTTCAGCCCCTAAATTTTATCAGGCCTAAGTAATTTTCAGTTAATTTAGATTTAAATGAATTAAGAAACCCTTAAGTAAATTATTACTAAATATAAACAAGTTATTAAAATCTTGTTTTAATGAAATAGTAAGCTGTTTGTTTAATGTTATTATCATAAAATACAATATTTTTTACCTTTCAAGAAGAAGAGCAATTGTTGATTTACCATTTCCAGAAGCCCCTACAACTGCAACTGTTTTTCCAGCTGGTAATGATAAGTTCAACTTTGTTAGTACCGCCTGAAAAAAACAAAACATACACATATGTATATATGGGACCATGAACAAGTTCTCACTGTTTTTTTTTTTTTTTTTTTGTGAAAATTAATGGTTTATTTAAAGTAAGTGGTAAAAAACATGTCACTCAAAGTATTGTCCATCACTAGCCACTACACTCTCCCATCATTCGGTCAGCACCTGAATTCCAGGTCGAAAAAATGACTAGTATTTTAAGGATATCCAAGAAACTATCGATTTTTTGTTATCTTGGAAGTTTTTTTTAGAATGGAAGTGGTGCTCAGCCAGGTCGTGTGCCATCAAACAAAATAAGGAATAATCAAAAAGGGGAATATCTGGTGATTGGATATCCGGCGGGTTGGACAGGACTTTCTAACCAAATATTGAATTGGGTTAGGAAAAGGTTTAATTTGTCTTGGAAAAAATTGAATTGACTTGGAAAAAGTTGAAGACGACTTGGAGATGATATATATAGGGGGACCGAGATAGCCAGGTGGGCTAAGGTACTTGCAATAGGTAATCAAAGTTGAGCAACCTCGAATGTGTTTAGTACTTAGATGGATGACTACCCTATTTGGATGACCTCCGTCCACTAAGGAAAGCCATGCTGCCCGAGATTCCTTCCCCCTCCCAGGTATGTGAGACCTGTCAGGAGAAGGCAACTCACACCGACTGGGCGTAGGACTGATGACCCAACCCTCTGTACCTAAATCAGGAATCGGGATATGGTTTATCAGGACATCAGTAGTTCCCTGAGGTTTGGTCCATGGACAGTCTGTTTCAGAGAAAGAAATATAGATCCCCTTGCACCTGCTGAGTCTGAGCAGCCATAATCTATAGATCTAGAACGATTTGTCACGATCCTTGAACCCAATTGAGTAGGTGGGAAGGACACTGCCAGATTAGCCCTAATGTGAGGTTGGGTGTCCCCTATGGGCTATCTATACTGCCACAAGCAATATACATCTGTAAGAAGACCATATCTCACAGCCAAAGATTTTGATGATCTATAGTGTCAACCAAAGAAAAAAATAGACATATATAAATTAATTTTATTAGTTATACTATAACTATATAATTATTATAACTATACTAAAACAAATTATCTGTTTCAATAAAAACACAAATATAAACATTTTTCAAAAGTTCTTTTCTTTTAATTTAATTTAATTTATGATTTAACATTCCAACCAGTTATGAATTTTAAACAATCAGAATTAATGGCGTCAGAAATTTGTAACAACTATGCAAGTCAACTTGACTTTTTATAGAATTGAAATTTTGTTCGATGATAAACTTATCTAATCAGACAAATAATAATCAGTTTTGCTTATTTTGTATTTATCTCGTGGCAGTACTCTCCCCAGTTTGGAATTGTAAGATTTATGCATTTCAAATGTATTTAACACATTTACATTTATTTAACACTTTTCTATCTAAAGTTCATGTTAAAACTAAGTCAATTTAAATGTATTGGTAACATGCAGATTACGTTAGGAGAACATATAATTAAAGATTAAACTTTTTATTTTATACAGTTTCTATGTATAGTACATAACATAGTCCCGAACATCAAATTTAGAGAGAGCCTTGAAATAAACTATATAAAATACCTTCTTGTCTAATCCAATAAAGTGGTTTAAAAAACTGCTTTGTCTAATAATGAATAAAATAATAAATAAAAATAATGAAATCAGCACATAATTAATTCTTAGAAAGAAAAGAATTCACATACCTGTGTTGGCCTAGAGGGATAAGCAAATGTTACATCCTTGAACTCAATATTTGGAATAAAAGAATGGTAAGGAATTTTTAGTCCTCCTTCAGTTGGAATCAAAGGTTCCAAACTAGAATACTAAAATAATAAAGATAGCAATAGTTAGAGGATCTTTAACAAATAAGCTATGTACTTGAAATAAAATATATCTCTAAAAGAAGTTTTCAAAAAAATAAATAAATTATAATTTAAACTATACACAAAGTAATATACGTATAACATTTACAAGGTTGTGTAGAATATGATTACAAATCTAAACAAACTGTAGTCATTACTTAGATATTACCACATTAGCTGTGGTTACGGTCCCCGGCGTCCGCTAGCTTTATATCATATATAATGATTATTTACATTTGCATCTATCTTTACATCAATCCAACTCCCATTAAAATATTTTTAAAAATTACCATTTTAGAGACTTTGTAATGTAGGCAAAATTCGAAACAATCCTGGCCGAAATCGAGACGAATATCGTCCAACCAGGAACCTTAGCAGCAGCTAACATGTTAAGTATAAAGATGCTGAAAATGTCAATGTTACAAAACATTAATTCATTCGACTGCCACAATATCCTTTATCTATATTCTGCTTACCTATGGCTTTGCCTGGTTTAACTAATGGTGCAGAAGCCAGATGCATAAAACCCTGCTCATAAAACATACATGTGTAAATAATTTTGAAATTAGTTTTAACCACACTAAGCAAAGAAACAGATTTCTGGTAATCCTAAAACTCATACTAAGCAGCTAATTAATATGCTGAAGTAATGAATTGCTTCATTATAACTAGCCCATCAAACAAATGATCAGTTTTTGTTTTAACTACTCTCTTATGTGTCAAAGATGACAAAAACAACTTAAAGAACTATTTCGCTGGTACTGTCCACTGCGCCAACTGCTAATAACAGTTCAGCACTGCTTTAGTGGAATAGAAAATGTTCGATTTCGCTAGTACCGCCCACAGCAGTAAAATAGGCTGTTTTCTATTCCACTAAAGCAGTTCTTAACTGCTAGCAGTCAGCATGGTGGGCAGTACCAGGGAAATATTACTTTTACTGGGTAACGATATTCTCGTTGATAATTGCCAGAAAAGAAATGTGATAGCTGGTGTATGGCAGTCAGTTTTTTAAGAATTTTACAATGTTTCAACCCAAGCTTGTGGGTCATGTTACCAGCACTGAAGTTTTTCAAGTACTCCATACTCAGTACTTAACACCTTCAATACTGGTAACATGCCTTGATGATGATCCACAAACTCGAGTTGAAATGTTGGTAATAAAAATCTTAAAAAATTTACTAAGTACTGACTATGTATCACCCACTTCTAAAGCTCTGTTTCCTTGAAGGATTCCCGAGTAAATTATAGTGTGGCCTCAGTCTAGCTTCATCTCTCCCATTCCTTTCCTCTTCAATTCACTAATCCCTAGAATGTCCAACCTATATGTCATAATTTCTTCAAAAATGTTGACTTCATTACATACTCCAGGTTCCTTGACGTATTTTATTTTCTATCCCGGCTTGTTTCCTCATTGTATGTCCAAATCTTTTTTTTTTTTTTTTTAATTTCTTTATGACATTTACAACTGTATACATAAATACATCAAGTAAATTTGGTCATAATTGATATAATGGCATGAATACACTTGCTGAGTAACTACCCAATGGTAGCACTCTAATGATATGACTACATTAGGAGATCACGGGGCCATCTTCTTTTCAGACGCCTCGGAGGGTTATCAGGAATTGAAGAGGAAGCAAGGTTAGAAACGAGAGGATTGGGATGATTCTGAAGTTTATTATGGAAGGATAGGTATCTGGATTGGGCCAGATCTGAAACATAAGGAACATTAAGATCTTTATGGATAATTTTATTAGTGACAAAGTAAGGAGCATTGAGGATTTTATGAAGGATTTTGGATTGTAAGGATTGGATGCGAGAGGAATTTGATGGTTTAGTGGAGCCCCATAGCTCAACTCCGTAAGTCCAAATAGGACTTATTATAGTCAAGTATATAAGTCTTTTGTAATTAATGGGAAGTTTAGAGCGTTTGTCTAGTAAGTGCTGAAGTAATCGGAAACGTCGAGCGGTTTCTTGTCGTTTCAGTCTAGTATGAGGATTCCAAGTTAGTCGTTTGTCCAGGTGGAGTCCTAGGTATCGGATTTGCTCAACAGGGATAAGTGGAGTATTGTTAAAGGAAACTGTAGGACAGGAAGTCGTTGGTTTACGACGAAGGGTAAAGGTAATTTGGTGGGATTTATTGGAGTTTATTTTAATTCTCCAGTTTTGACACCATTCTTCTAGATTTATGATGTGTGATTGAAGCATTTGGGATGCAATTGCTGGGTCATTGTTTACTGATAGGATACATGTGTCATCGGCATATGTGGTGATGACAGTGTTGGGACAGGTAGGGATGTCAGCTGTATAAACTGTATAGAGGATAGGACCTAGGATACTACCCTGAGGAACACCAGCAGACTGGGAAAAAAGGGATGAATAGGCGTTATTGTGATTTACTTTAAAGTATCTATCAGTGAGGTAGGAACAGATAATGAGGAAGTATGTAGGTGGTAGGAATTTTCGGAGTTTGTACAGCAGTCCCGGGTGCCAAACTCTATCAAACGCCTGTTCAACGTCGAGAAAGACTCCCGTACAGCACATTCCGCGCTCCAATGCAGAGGAGACTACGTCTACCACACGATGACATTGCTGTATAGTGGAATGGGAAGTTCGGAAACCAAATTGGTGATCTGGGATTATGTGTTTAGAATTTAGAATAGGGTACAGGCGTTTTAAGATGAGTTTTTCTAGGATTTTGCCCATGATGGGTAAAAGAGAGATAGGACGGTAAGAGGATGGGTATTCTGGTGGTTTTTTGGGTTTGTGGATCATTTTAACAATAGATCGTTTCCAAAGATCAGGAAAATATGTAGAACGGAGTACAGCATTATATATGTAAGTAAGGAATAGGATGGCTTTTCGAGGAAGAAGTTTTAGGATCTGGGATGTAATTAGGTCATGTCCAGGAGCTTTACGATGCCCAAATCTGAGGCTATTCCTTAAATTATTTTGAATCAAATATATTTTCTTGAGAGTGATCAACACAGCAAAAAAATACCATATATAAACAGGACAACTGGTTGTTTGGCTAAACCCCTAAATTTAGGTTTTTTCAAGGAATGTGGACCTGAGGTAAGTACTGTATGTGATCTTACATGTGGATGAATGTTAAGTATAATGTTCTGCGGTGTGTGCTTACCAGTAGGATACCAGAAAAATCTTTAATTCTCAAAATCTAGCAAGGCCATTAATACATACTGATAACAGACCTACTATTATAAATTATACTCGCTTACTTACATAGCAAATCCTTTCAAATGACTGCTTTCCTTTTAGATAGTGACCAAATGTCATAGATATCTGAGCAAACGATTTTTGTATCATTTGCGCAGTGACTAGAAATGACATTAAATTTCCAGAAGAAAAATTTCCAATTATAATAAACTGACTTCCAATATAGAGGGTTCCTAGTACCAAACCATTCAAAAATAAATTACTTCCAGCCTAAAAAAAATAAACAAATAAAAAAAACATTAAGAGAAACCAAAAATGTAATAATTATAAAATTATGAAAAAAAAAGTTCGACTGTATGTGTGTAATTGGTAGTCCAAGGACAAATTCATGCAGCACTAAGTTAAAACTGATATTTTGATTTTTCCCTAACTATCCAACATTACATAAACATTTTTTAATGTAACATATCATCTTTTAATACACGTATGTAATGTATTTGTGAATACTTAGTAAGTAATTTCGGAGGTTTAGGGAAAAAAACAAAATGTATTTCAACTTAGTGCTGCATGAGTATGCCCTCTGTGTGAAAACTAATCACGGTCAAACTATTTATGATTTGAAAAAAATCTGAAAATTTGTATAAATAATAAACTATATCAAGACAAAACTTACAACAATATTTTCAACTGAACTTCAAAATGTATATACAGGGTATTCCATATTATCCTGTAAATGGTTAGAGATATCGCAAATTGCAAATAGATCTTATCAAGATGTTTCCGTGGCATAATTTATTAATCCCAAAAAATCTATTTTTAAGGCTTAAGGGCCCCCAGAAATGACATTTTTGAAAACTAATAAAAAAATAAAGAAACGTGAATTTTAGTTTTTTCTGATATTTTGCTATAAAATGGTATTCAAAAATTTACCTATTTGCAATCCAACAACTAAAAACTTGATGTCAACAAAAGTAAAACATGATTTTTTGAATAATTTTTACCACAATTTAATTTAAATTAGTTCCCAAGTGATCAGAGTCCTCTAGCAATAATCTTACAATATTTCGTCAATAAATAAAGAATTTTCAATGTAAATATTCAGATTTGTTGATTAATCTGTGGTTTTACGTTTCTATATATTTATTCTTGGCGCTACGGTCCTGTGAAAACCTGGTCCTCTCTTATTACTCTCCTCAATCTCGAGCAAGCATTCTCTATCTTCGAATTCCTATCCTTTTCAGGCTGTCCTCCACCTTGTCCAGCCATCTCAGGCATGGTCTTCCTCTTATACCTTTTCCAGCAAGCCTATCCTCTAACAAGTGTTTGGGAATCGCATCTCTGGGCATACGTGCCACATGGCCTAACCATCTGATGTCCCCTCACAATTGAGACCAAATCCATACTTACATTTCTAGTAGTCAAAATCAAGATAAAAACTTTCATAATTTTAATGGTTCAAAAAGAATTGAACATGAAGAACTTTGAATTATGATATGTCTTGCACAGGTAATATAAGGAGAGCTTAGACATGAAAACAAGTTCTTTTATTGCTGTCTACTAGTAAGTACACTAGTATCACATGTCATTGCATCACACCTTATTCCTCTGAGACTATGAGAGCAGAATGGAATTTTTCCACCGGGAACTAAATAAAATTTAAAGTATGCACGAATATTTTTTAGTGATGAAGTAATTTTCTGCAGTGATCAAATGTTGAACCGTTACAATTCACATTAATGGGCCTACCAAAAGTCTAACCTAACCTGAGAAGCACCAGTGGTCGCTAAATATGCGGTGTGACATTATCGGACACCATACCATTAGTCTCCATTTCATTCAGTGCAGATTGACAGGAGAAATGTATGGAAGAGATCGTGTGGCCCAGAGTTTTGGAGCGTTATCTGTTTTTAACATTCTCATGCCTAACAACGCCAGTTCGAATCAGGACTGGGAAAACTTCAATTTTATTTCTTGGCGGACCCGCAGAATGGAATTCGACCTTCCCGCTCTGGTTAGAATACGTTTGGTTGTACCTCTAAAATGTTATTTAAAATTCTTTATTCTTTATTTAATTCTTTGTCAAAATATCTGAAGATTGTAGATAGTGCTCTAATTGCTTAGAAACTATATTAAATAGAGTCTGTGGAAAAAATTATTTTAAATAAATTGTGTTTTAGCTTTAAAGATGTCAATTTTTCAGTCGTGGCATTCAAAATAGGTAAGATTTTAACCACCTTTATATGGCAAAATACCAGGTGAAACAATAAAAAATTAAAATTCACACGTTTCTTTATTTTTTAAATAGTTTTCAAAAATATATTAAAAATGTGCTGTAAAGAGGAAACCTTTGAGCTGAGTCATAAAACTAGGTTTTTTGAAATTGATAAATTATACATATGAGAGTTCTCAATGAGAGCTAAAACTTTGATCTTTTGCAATTTTATTGCATTCATGAAAAGCATACTAAATGATAATCAAAGTGAAGAAAACAGATATTCACACTGAATATTAAACCTCCAGAATTAATGTACCAGTAGAAGGAGTAATATTATATATAACTAATAAATCATGCAACCAATCAAATTCTACCAGCATATTATCAATAATAATAATAAATATACCTGCAAAAAAGCTATTCCATGGCCAAGCAATGTATTCAGTTTAGATGATTCTTTGGTTTCGCAGGCAAATCTTTCACATTCTAAAGATTCATTTCCAAAAGCCCGCACAGTCCGTATATTACTTAAAGTCTCTTCGCATAGTGTGAATACTTTGACTGACTGAAAAATCAATAAATATTATATAATTACAAAAATAATACAAATGAAGTGTAATACACATACATATTTGTGTAAATGTGTGTATAAATAAATGTATATATAAGTATATATATATATATATATATATATATATATATATATATATATATATATATATATATACATATACAAGGTGTTTCAGGATTAATTGGCCAAACTGCAAAAATGAACTAAGGACCTCAAAACAAAAAAAAAAAATTTCACTGAAGGTATTTCCGGAAACACCTTGTTTAGGAGATATTCACAACTAAAGATTTTCTTTGTCATGAATTATTTACGTTATATGAAATAAATAAAACCTATTTATTTATTCTAACTGCTTTATTAGTTAAATGTAAACATTAACATTTATATTAAATGTTGTTCAAAGTGATTTCCTTGAGCGTTAAGACACGCATGGTATCTTTCTTCAACAGCAGCAGTGGCAGAACTGCACTGGACATGTGTTATTATTTCACAAGATTCAATTATCCTTCTTCGTAAGGAATTAAGGTCATTGACCGGACTTGCATAGACTTTTTGTTTAATGTCACCCCAAACAAAAAAAATCCAGTGGTGTCAGGTCTGGAGAGCGTGCAGGCCAAGCCACTGGTCCTGCACGGCCAATTCACTGATTGGTATATGAGATGTGATTGAGCAAGTCAATGACCTTAATCCCTTAAGAAGAAGGATAATTGAATCTTTGAAACAATAACACATAGTTCTGCCACTGCTGCTGTTGAAGAAAGATACCATGCGTGTCTTAACGCTCAAGGAAATCACTTTGAACAACATTTAATATAAATGTTAATGTTTACATTTAACTAATAAAGCAGTTAGAATAAATAAATAGGTTTTATTTATTTCATATAACGTAAATAATTCATGACAAAGAAAATCTTTAGTTGTGAATATCTCCTAAACAAGGTGTTTCCGGAAATACCTTCAGTGAAATGTTTTTTTTGTTTTGAGGTCCTTAGTTCATTTTTTTTGCAGTTTGGCCAGTTAACTCTGAAACACCCTGTATATATATATATATATATATATATATATATATATATATATATATATATATATATATATATATATATATACACACACATAGACAAATAATAATAATAATACAGAGACCTCATGATCACATTCGAAATGGATGCCATAACTTGAATTTTCGAATTATTGGGATTAAATAATTACAATTTATAGCTAACGAATGGAGGTTTTATTGGAATAGAAGAAAAATTAATTATGAAAAATAATGTCCGATAAATGCTGTCTTTCCAAGGAAACGGATCCCTGCAGAAAGTCATTAAAGTTTCTCTTCACATCTTCCAACATTTCAACCAATATCACTGTGATTTCAAACTGTATAGCTTTTTTTAAATTTGGAATATTACATGGTTTGACAATATACACTTTTGACTTGAGGTATTCCCATAACAAGAAATCACAGGGGGTGAGGTGTCCACAGAACATCATATTTTTGGAAATCATTAAAATATTTCATGGACAAGAAAAATCATTAGAACTCTTGCAGTATGAGCAGTTTTCCCTCCCTTCAGATCAGATTTCATTGTTCCTTCATTCATTTTCCTCCAAGTAGGCAATAATAAATTCATGAAGCACAGCCAAGTAGCACTGAATTCACCATCACCATCTCCCTCACATCTGCAAACAAATAATTTATGATTATCCCAACTTTGTTGGCAGCAAAGGTGCTGTTAGTGCGATTCTCTTGGGTTGTCAAATGCCCAATATCTTGTTTACATAGCCATCGAAGTGAAAATGAGCTTCGTCTGATATGATGATCAATGTAAAAATTCATCCTGAAGAATATACAACATGTGCTCACTGACATTAAACGTTGTCAGTCTGAGCTTCTGGATAACAATTATTTTGAAGGGATTTAATTTAAAATATTTTCTCATAATAGTTTGAATACCCCAACACAAAATTCCAAATGCTTAGGAACAATGTCTTGTTGAATTTTGTTGGTTTTCCTCAAAAGACACTCAGATATGACCACTTTCTCGTTTGTTAGAGCTTATCCAAGACGAGTTTGCTGGTAGGTAGAGGAGGAGAGAAATGGCGGGAGAGAGCAGTGGCAAAACATTTTCCCGCTACTAACTACTAATTCGTACATACTTCAACAATTTTTTTACGAGTAGAAATTTCTTTTACCAATTTCCATTTATTATGTCAAGCAAACTGGGTAGGGGGAAAACTATCCACTCTCAGGCTGCAAATTTAATTATGAACGTATATAACTTCATGAAAACAGAAGCTGGGAATGGTCCAATCCATGTTTCCTCTGTTATGAAAAGAGTTTCCCAGGCTACTGGTGTCTCAGAGCACACTTTGAGAAACATCATAAAAAGATAAAAAGAGAGTGAAGCTGTAGGGATAGGTGATAAACTTTGTTTAGAAACCCCAGCCAAGAAACTGCCCAAAAAAACAAACAAAAGTAAATATTAACAATTTTGATAAAGAAACCATTCGCAGACCAGTGCTTAATTTTCATATCATTGATTAAAAAAAAACTACCGTCTTTGAACGAAATTTTACAAAACATAAGAGAAAATGGAAATATTAATTTCAGTGGGAATAAAAAAACATGACGTAAATTACTTCAAAATTTAGGTTTCAAATGGGAAATAATTAATAATCGAAGTCAAAATTTGGAGATAATCGAAAAGCTTTGATTGAGAAAAATGATATCTGCATAAAAATAATAAAATATTTGAACCAAATAACTAAATATCAAAAAGAAGGTTTATTACTCATTGTTTACTCAGATGAAAGTTATGTTTATTCAATAAATGCAAACAATTTCATCTGAACTGATAGTACTCAGTTGAACTTTAAAAAAAAAAATTAACAAGAGGACCAGGATGATAATTGTTTATGCAGGGTTTGAAAACGGTTTCATACCAGGAGCCTTATTAACTTTTCAATCTCACTTTAAAAGTAAACACTATCATGACAACATGAACACAATGAATTATAAATAATGAATGCTCAATTTACCTCCAAGAAATGTTTTGGTCATAGATAATGCTTCCTATCATAACAAGCTATTAGAAAAGGCACCAACATCTAACTCAAAAAAACAGGATATGGTAAAATGGCTGAAAAATAAAAGTATACCCTTTTCTCCTGAAATGTTAAAGCCTGAGTTGAACAAACTCATAAAAATTAACAAGAATTTTCTCACTAAATATTATTTTGATGAAATTTTCGAAGAATCTTTTTTTGACGTCCTCAGATTACCACTTTATCACCCAGAATTAAATCCAATAAAAAAAATATGGACCAATATAAAAGGATATGTTACAAAAAATAACGAGGACCTAAAAATGGAAACAGTATACAACTTAATAAATAAAATGTGCAATTCGATCGATGCTGATGATTGGAAAAAGTGTGCAACCATTCTTAGTTATGTGAAAATGAATATAGAAAAATTGAAAACTTAACTGATGATTTGCCATTGACCATTTTATTATTTCACTGCATGACTCGGATTCAAAACTTGAAAGTGTAATTGATTGTGATTTTGAATCAAATGAAGATGGAATGTATCCTAACTAATAAATGATAAAACGTATGAAACTAAGAGTGAATTCCATTTAATGTAATAACTAGAGATTGGATTTTAAGGATTTATCCTTCTTCTTTTCTTTTTTTTTTTTTTTTTTTTGTTTAAGAGAAAACTGAGATCTGAAAAGATCTATGCGATCTTGAATAGTAGATTTAAAATAGAAAATCCTATAGGATCTTTTTTTTTCAATTTGTTCTAAAATGGAAGTTTTTTGCAATTTTCTACCAAATCAAAATTTGTTTTGTAATTTTGAACAAGAAAAAATCTTTTCTGGGGTCTTCATTCTGAGTTTGATTTAATTGAATATATTCATAAATTATTATGTATGATTTTACGCTTAAATATCTAATTATATCAATTTAATGAGAAAAAAAAAGTAAAACATATATGGATATTTGTCTTGAAAGCATTATTAAATAATATTAAATAAAACAGAACATCTGTTTTTCTGAACATTGCTTGAGTCTGAGGAAGTTATCAATTTCCTAATTTGATTCACAGAAAGAGTGGCTATGTACGCACGGCGATTCATTTGATTAAAGTTAATGCAATACTGTCTACAATAATACATAATGTGGACAATTATGTAGTATACAATAATGAAGTAAATAAAGGTTTTTCCCAATTATTGAATATTTGATAATTTGAATACTTGAATTTTGAATATTTGAATACATTTTTTTTTAATTTTGTTTTTTTTATTATTTAACCATTATTACCACTGTTTTATTTTTTAATTAAAATCCCTATCTTTAATAAACATTTGTGTACAATTTGAAGAAAAGTGAACAATGCATTCCCAGTACGAAGTGATTGCTATGGCGAGGAGAGGAAGTAGAGCTTGAGAGGGGTTTTGGGGAAGTGGAATTTGAGTGGGGGAAGGCTGCGCTAGCTCCCTTCCCTATTAAAGTTAATGCAATACTGTCTACAATAATACATAATGTGGACAATTATGTAGTATACAATAATGAAGTAAATAAAGGCTTTTCCCAATTATTGAATATTTGATAACGCAGTATGGGATGCTTTTCTGTTTTATACATTTTATCTATCTATTCCTTGATTTTTTTATGATCTATTTCTATGTAAATTTAGATCTACAAATTCGGATCCTAGTAATAACATCGAGTTTTGTGAACAGTAGACACCACAAATTCACATTTTTTTTTAATTTTGTTTTTTTTATTATTTAACCATTATTACCACTGTTTTATTTTTTAATTAAAATCCCTATCTTTAATAAACATTTGTGTACAATTTGAAGAAAAGTGAACAATGCATTCCCAGTACGAAGTGATTGCTATGGCGAGGAGAGGAAGTAGAGCTTGAGAGGGGTTTTGGGGAAGTGGAATTTGAGTGGGGGAAGGCTGCGCTAGCTCCC